TTCCTTCTACAATCGGGTTTTAAAAATTCCCAAGCTGATACATCACTTTTCATCTATAACACCAATGGCATCCTACCCTACATGCTTGTCTATATCGATGATATTATCATCACAAACAACAGTTCAAATCACATAAACGGGTTTATCAATTCCTTATCTCCTTGGTTTTCAATTAAGGATTTGAGTTACTTACCTTACTTTCTTGGAATAGGTGTCACAAGATCCTCTAATGGCTTACACTTATCTCAAACTCGCTATATTGCAGATCTCCTCCATCAGATGAAGATGATAAATTAAAAGCCAATCAACACACCCACGTGTCCAAATTCTTCCCTCGCTCTTTTCAGGCACTTCACTTGACGATGCTACTGAATATCGAGTAGCAGTAAGCAGCTTGCAATACTTATCTCTCACTAGACCGGACATCTCCTTTGTCTTCAACAAACTCTCTCAATGTATGCATCGACCTACAACGGAGCATTGGACAGCGGTCAAAAGAGTCATGCGTTATCTCTCCGGCACTATGTCCCACGGCACATTTTTCCCAGCCAAAAATGCACCCACACTTCATGCATTCATGGACGCGGATTGGACTGACAACAAAGATGATCACACTTTCACTAGCGCTTATATTGTGTATCTTGGTTGCCACCCAATAGCGTGGTCTTCTAAAAAGCAAACCAGAGTTGTAAGATCCACCACCGAAGCCAAATACTGCTCAGGTTGCATCCACAACCGCCGAATTATGCTGGATCACATCACTCATGACAGAGTTTGGTCTCCAAAGCACAGACACCAGCCATCTATTGCGATAACATTGGTGCCACGAATTCAGAAAAAAAAAACATTGGTGTCACGTATGTAGAGGAAATCTGGTATTCCATTCATGTATGAAGCATATTGCACTTGACTATCACTTTGTGTGTAATCAGGTGCAAACAGGGCAGGTTTGTGTAAGTCATATATCAACTCATGACCAATTGGCGCATGCATTGACCAAGACGCTCCCTCGCCCTCGACATAAAGTCTTGCGTATAAAAATTGGTCTCTCTCCTGGTAGTCCATTTTGAGGGAGTGTATCGGAGTAAAGAAAGTAGATATTAGGAATTAATATAATCTCTATAATATTGTTCGCATAATTACCGTATATCTCCTAACGTTCATCTTCTTCTATGTATGAAATTCTGCACATCAATAACATAATCTAATACTAACTCATGGCATAAACAACATAAGCAGCTGTTTAGGGTTTCACTTGTTTTTTTTTTTTGTCACCGACGGTGGTGGAGCTTTGAAATATTAAGACATATGTCTTGTCTAGAAATTGAAAGACTTAATTCGATGAAGAAAAAACAAGAGATTTAAAAAGAATAAGAGCCTTGGAATTGTTTGGACCGGTTCTGATCTTAAATGTTGAAATTATTTTGAGATTGGAGAATGGAGTCTGAACTGAGGGCAACATATACATTTAGTTATGATAGAGTCTCACTCTCTCTCTCTAATTGTTCTTTGGTCTTTGATCTTTTGTCTGTATGGATTTCTATCTACTTTGTCAATTGCGCTAAGTTAATTTGTTTTTTTTTTTCTTGTTAAAATGATAATGTTTATGATTGTTTAGCACTTTTACTTTAAAAACTATTAAATTATAAATGTGTTTGTAATTTTTTAAAAAATAATATGAATAAGAAAAAGCAGTCAAAGCTGTGTGTTTTTATGTATTTTAATTTTTTTTAGGAAAGATAAAATGTGATTGATAAATTATTAGCTCTAAAAACTATGATTTATTTTAAATTCTCCATTTTTAGTTTTAAAAATCCCTAACCATAGCAAATATAACTTTCCCGAATGGTCTTGTACATCTGACCTGTCTTGTTTGTCTCTGAAAGGGCTGAGAACTTGGACATCTTAATCTTGAGACTCCTAAGTTTAGAAGAGTAACCCGAATCTTCGATATTTTCCAATGAAAAAAGCAGCCAAATTGCTTCTCGTTTAAATGTCATCTTCACGATGAACCGTGGCTGTTGCATAATCTTTTGGTTTAAAAGAGATTGTTGTCTCTAAGAAGAGAACTAAATCATCTAAAACTGTAAATGAAAAGAACATTACAGTTAAGATGACTAACTTTTAATGAAAGCATTCTCATTTAAGTTTTTATTGTTTTTATAGTAATTAATCTTAATGAAACAAATGAAACTTTGTAATAGTATTTTAATATAGCAAAATATATCGTTAATATTATAAATTTGTACTTTTCTGATACATATAATACATTTTTTGTACTCGGCTTGCACATACTTAATTAAAAGCCACATAGATACACTAAAGTCATATGTAAATGCAAACCACTGCTCAATAGAGATGTAAATGATATCAACACCAAAAATTTTCTCCCTACTCTTTACATGAGGTTTTGTTTAGTCCAAAATGCTCAAATGGTCTGCTTTGATTGATAGAAGATGAAGAACTTTCACTGACATTTTGCCTAGTTCAAAGGCTGGCCTGTTTATGATGTCAATCAGAGATTCATCATAAATTTGGTGCATCATTGTTGACTTGTTGTCGGTATCAACCACTTTAACGATGTTAGAGATTTCACCAAACTTTGACCTTTCATATTTGATGCACTGTAATCATTAAAGCCATCTTCCACCTTTTCTTCAACAATTCAGGGAAATGAACCAAATTTTTATCAGGCTTATTTGTTGCAATAACGCTCAAAATCTTTGAAAGAACCTCCATTATTCTTGCAAGTCTTACAATGGAGCATCTTCAAAAAATCTTGCAAGTCTCCAAATGATTACTATCTAGTTTTTGGATTTCTTTAAAGCATTTGGACTATGCTTGGATCCATAGAAGAGGAAGGACGTTAACTATACTACATCTCTTCTTGTTCATAGGTTTGACATTGTATGTGAAAAGATAAAATAAGTGTAAAGCTGCTCGTACTGAGCTTAATTGGGCCAGTGTGATGCCTCAATCTGCAGCAGCTATAATAGAAGGAGCAGACATCACAGGTCATTGCTTGATCTTGAGAATGATGATTTTCCAAGCTTAAGATAAACTTTTCATGCGAAGCTGGTAGATAATATATAATTTTGTTTAATAACCTATGTACACTTGAAGTTTATCAAATATTGACAAAATGCTTACTGAGAAAACCCGAGTCACGGTGATCTCTTAATTTAATAAGATTTTTCTATAGAACCTCACCTAATAGATTTGTTTCTGAGTAATCTTATTTATCTGCAGGCCTATAACATTAGAAATGCTTAGACATCCATTTTTTTTTGGAGTTCCGATGATAAAATTGATTTTTTTAGAAGAGGTTGGATCTTAAGTTAAAGAGTGAGATCATGCAAAGAAAACTGCACTAGAGAACACAGCAGCGACTGCTATAGTCACAAGATGGCAAACAAGGATCGATCCTAACGTTTTCACACATATGCGGAAGTTAGCCACAAATTTGGAGAATTGTGTAGACTAATTAGAAACATGCAAGCTCATTGGGGACAACTGAGAACATGCATGCATCCAGGTTTATAATATTATAATTTATAGAAACTTGTAGCATTCAAATGTTTTTAACACTCACTAAAAATGTTTGACTGTTTTGATATCAGAGTCACAGAGTGCTATTGGAAGTGATGTGCTCGAGTATTTCAATGCTCTTTTGCCGAATGTATTGATCAAGGTATACCAAATGGTGCATGACAATTGCAAGGAAGTGATGTGTTTCTCACAAGACGCTACAAAGGTTAAACACCATTTTAACTTTTGATTAGCATTGCGATTTCAGGTATTGAGTATTAATAAAACTATTTTGACAGGAGAAAAACACATCTTTGATAAGAATTTCACATTGTCAACTGTTTATTGAACCATGTGTTCTTCTGTTGATTCGTTACACAACAATTTAAAAAAAAAAAAAAAAATTACAAACTACATTTCTTGCCTAAGAATTGAATAACATTGATAACTAATTACCAAGATCAAATACTAAGGATCAGCTTTCACTAACTTGCTTCTAATAATTATAATATTGTTCCAACTAGTTACTATTATTGAATGACATAACAGTCGTCCATATTATACTTGTCCCACCATTCTGGTATGTATTCTCAATCCAATGAAAAACGAGATTCAAGGAAAAAAAAAAAGTGAAATGCTAAGATATAGAATCCATGGTACATTGATTAATGTGGAAAGCTATATTGAACGTGGGATAATTGGATTAGTAATTTATGTTTGACATAGTCTATATAGGATAAATATACTTTTGTAATTTGGTGAAGATAATTAATTATGATCATAAAAACAAAAACATGCGGTTAGATATTTCGTAACTCTGATTTCTACTAAGAGTTCGATACTTGACAAAAGAAAACACAACTACTACTAAAAATAACGAAATAGTAAAAGAGGAGAAACCAGAAACGAATAATCATTAAGTACGCGGAAACAATTAATACCTTTATAGACAAAATGCTTATCAGAAGTATTAGACAAAATGCTTATCAGAAGTTATATCTTGGTCATGAGAAATTTTGGACAACTGTCGTCCCAAGTCTTTAATCGCGTTCACTAGCTTTTCAATCTTCACGTTTTCGTCATACACAAATGGAAGCTTCTTGTAAAATGTCACCTTGTCTTTGGCTGAAACAGGTAATATTTCTCTGCAAAGCTCCTCGTGCACGGTTATGTTACTTGTTGTGGTAATGGTAATAACGTGTCTTCGTCTTCAGCTCTCTTGTGTAGCGTTTTGCCTACTACCATGTGAACTCATATCGCAAACGTGTTCTTGGCTTGGGTTGCTATGGTCTATTAATGGTAAGAATTATGGATCCAGTGTTATTTTTGGTTAACATTCCTTTAACCTTTTGTGTCTTTTGTACCATTGCAGAAGCTAAGGACTTCTTCAAGCACAAAGGGTTCGACGTTGATCAGATTGACAAAGGCTTTTAACGATTAACAAGTATATATAATTTTTTTTTATTTCCTGTTGACATTGACAGAAACCTTAACTGTGCTGTGTTCAGAAATTTTAAATGAAACAGTGATTCTAAGGAAAACGGTCATAACGCAAAAGCTTGTCCATCCAAACACAACGGCAAGCAACAAGTAATGTCTCTGTTTTTTTTGTTTTCCTTATCATTCTTCCTTGTCTAATCTAATGTCTATGGATATGGTTCCAAAATAGCAAGCAAAGTAATGAAACCAACAATAGCTTGAGGGTCTTTGAAACATAGTTAAATCAGAGCAAACACCTTTTTGATCTTCTCAGTAAGCTTTATAAATCTAAAAGCGATAGAATCTGATGTGAGGGGAACATATAAATAACAGAGAGGGCTTGTTTATCTCTTCTTCTTGCCACCTTTGCCTGACTTTGAAGAAGTTCCAGAGGTCGAAGTTGTAGCCTGAGGTTCCTGTTTCTTCGCTTTCTGAGATTCCAGCTTCTTCACTCTCTCTGGATGTCTCGGTACCAACTCTGCAATTTTCTGCATCAGTTGCTTCCCTGCAAGTATATATATATATCATCATCACAAAATGACCACACCATATATCTAAACAACTTGCAGTGGAGTATTCTCATTATGCAATGCAAACACAAACACGTCAGAAGTCTTGCAAAGTTGAAACAAACATATATCTGCATCAGGATTTGCCGCAATATATGCAATGATATCAAAGAAAACACAAGAGCCCCATCAAAACTGAGAAATTCAGAACTTAACACAATGAACTGGATTGCGAATTGGTGAAGATAAAAATCAGATAAACTTAGCATAAGGTATACATTGTCATATTCTACTAACCATATCCATAACAAACATAAACGTCTAAGAAGTCGGATAAATGCTACAACTTGCACAATAACTAGGTTCCATATGCACAAGATCGATCTGTAAAAGCGCACATGAGGTTCTGGTAATAGTAAATGCTATTGCTGACCATAAATGAATAACTTGGGATCACTGGAACAGCTCATAAAGCCTCCAGATCAAAGGTTGAAACTGGTGCTGACATAATTCGAAGATCAATGAAGAAGTTCAAATCAAGTGACATGGTGAAATAAAACATTGGTCAAAGTTAATATTAGAGCCTAGAGTGGAACACCCAACTACTGTTCAGCTAACACACACACACACACACACACACACACACACACACACACGAACACATGATTCACAAAGAGAAATATTAACAGCACAACAAGAGTTACGGTTAGTGTTTTCAGGTAACAATATAAGAAAACACAGAAGACAAATGTTCTAGATAGAACCAAAAATTCAGAAGAGAGGTCTTACTTGAAGTAATAGCTGGATTGAGTAAAGTCCCATCCTCTCTTTTCAACTGCACTCTCACTCTCCCTACTTGCATGAAATCACGCGGGTACGCTTTGTCGATCTGAGAATACCATAAGAAATCAAATAAAAGACTGCACATATATTACAACAAGACAGAGACTTTTCCCCGTAAAATCAATTTAGATGAAGGATAACCTCGACGGCACTAGGGAGTTTCAAATGCTTGCAACAGTCACTGATCTCAATGCAATTAGGGTTCTCACATGCTTTACTCACACCGATTCTCCTTCCCTCAGCTACAGTTTTCTTTGAATTAATATAGACTGGATACACCACTACCCATTTCTTGATGCTGAGCGTTCCACTATCCATCTACAGATCAAGAAGAAACACAACCAAACAGTTTATAATCCAGCTTTTAAAACCCAAAAACCTAAAGGCCAATTTTTTTTATAATTTTAGCCATTAAACAAGGTCGATATATGTTCATCATGCAATGCAAGAGTATAATCAAACCCAGTACAGTAGAAAAAGGGTAAAAGATGCAACAAACATTCTCGCTAATTGCTCTCAATAAAATATTAGATTGGATTAAAAACAACAAAAAATCTCTACCCAACAGTTGAAAAATCTAGAAATATACGGCCTAATACGCGATTAAAACGATATAAGTTACACAGATCTGTTCCAATTTCCAGGAAATTCCCAAGCATCGAGACCCCTAATCGTATACAGTCACAAGAAGGAAGACAATTTTGTTCTACGAAAGATCACTCGATTAATTTGACACAAAGAGAAGAGAGACGAACCAGGGATTAGATTCAGAGAAATCTAGATTCTGGACTGAGATTGCTCGGATCAGAAAATCGTTTAGGAGAGCAACGAAAAGTCCGAGGAAGAAGAAGAACTGAGATTTTACGTTTGGACCTCGGATTGATTTTGACTTTAATAATACCGTCATCTAAATTGAACCGCATAAAACTGGGTTAAACCGGAAAACCAAATAGTAAAATTGATTTTGATTCCAAGAAGAACTCCGACCGGTTCCTCTTCCTCTTCAACCCATATAAACCCCTTCGTCCCACTTTCGTCTTATAGATTGTGATTTCGTCTCTTCTTCTCCTCACCCCAATTTTTGATACAAACCATGACGATGCTCCGATCTCACGAAACACCACCGGCCTCAAGCGACAAGCCAGCCCCTAAACGAAGATCCGACATCATCCAGCCGTCAACTCCGGCTCGGAAGCAAGAGCCCAATGCTCACCGCTCTCCTGTTGAAATCACTTCCGATTTACCACTCGGCGGATCAAATCCTGTTGATGGAACCACTAACACACTCCAGAGGCGAAGTTCTCGTCTTGCATATCAATGTCAGGGCGATGATAAATCTCTGAATGGGTTTACTGAGAAAGCGGTTAGTATCTCAGTTTGTGGCAAGAGAAATTCGACTGAAGATGAAACCTTTTTGAGTTTGCGTTCAGGGAAGAGAGTCGCTAAGAGGGTTTTAGATAATGGATTTGAAATCGACTCCATGGAATTGGACTGTGGGAATAAGGTGGCGCATGTTAGCATATCAGAAGACGATTCCAGTATTGTGAGTGATACTGTCGATAATGAGGAGAAGAGAAAGACAGTGATGTTGGGTGAAGTTTTAGAGGTAGAAATTAAGAACAAAGGAAAGGGGATAGTGGAAGATTCCTATGAAGGCAATGATGTGCAGGTTGAGGAGCCAATGGGTAGAAGAAAATATACTAGGGAGGAGAAGGGTAAGGGTATAGAGGTGGAGAATGTGAATGTCTCTTCTCCAATCACCCATGAGAATGAGATCCCTGGAGAAGAAATGGAAATCGACAATCCCCCTAATGCCTCTGGAGAGGAGTTGCCTGTGGTTTTTGAACCAGAAAACCATCAGCATGGTGATGAAGCTGGAGATGGTTCAAGAACTCGGCATTTTCGTGACTTTGCCAAGAGACATGCTTCGAGGTTTGCTCATTTTGATGCTCAAGTGGAGGAAGAAGAGGACTTGTCGGATAAAGAGGTTGAAGGAGATTGGCCTGGTCCATTCTCTACCGCCATGAAAATAATCAAGGACCGAGAAGAGGACGCGAGTTTGGGTTTTGGCGACAAAGAAACATCATCTTCGCCAATTGTTTGGGCTCCCAGAAGAAACTACAGTATTGCTCCTCCTAGGGTGCCGCCATCTCTGCAGGAGCTATCCTTGAGGGTTCTTGTCAAGAACGCTGATGCCATCACTTCGCTTGACTATGTTCCAGACTCACTGAGGATTAAGCTTAGTCAATTGCTTTCTGATTCTAGGAGATTGGATGTACACTTTCTCCATCTTCTTCTCCATGGATCTCCAACAGAAGTTCGTGTTCCCGATTGTTCATGGCTCACCGAGGAACAGTTCACTGAATGTTTTGAGAACTGTGACACCAGCAACTTGACGGTACTTTACTCTTATAAGTTCAGTTTCATTTGTTACATTTAAGACGACACTTTAGGTATATATCAGGTGTTGAACCGTAGCTGTTCATTCTTGGAAGATAATGATACTGAAAGAAATAAATCACGAAGATAAACATGTTTCCATACATATCTTCCATGCATAATATGATATTAATGTGTACATTCTCCTCCTTTTTGAAACAGATTCTTCAACTCGACCAGTGTGGGCGTTGTATATCAGATTATGTATTACCCTCCACCTTAGCAAAGTCACCCAAAAACTTGCCGATGCTATCATCTTTATCTTTAAGTGGTGCATGCCGGCTTTCCGATGTGGGGCTACGGGCACTTATCTCCGCTGCTCCTGTGATTGAGTCTATTAATCTCAGCCAATGCTCTCTTCTAACATCATCTAGCATTGACATGTTGTCCGATTCATTGGGCTCAGTTTTGAGGGAACTGTACATCAACGAGTGTCAAAACATGGACCTGAAGCTTATTCTGCCGGCACTGAAAAAGTTTGAGAAGCTGGAAGTATTGTCCCTTGTGGATCTTCCTTCAGTCAGGGGTCGGTTCTTGAGTGAGTTTGTTACTGCTAGAGGACAAGCCCTGAAGCAGCTAACTTTGACCAACGCTGTGTATGCCTCTCGAATTTTTTTTTTTTTTGAATCTGTCATATCGAAATTGAATTTTCACTTATTTTGGATTTGTTTGGTTGGTGCAGGAAACTAACCGACGCTTCTGTTAAAGCCATCTCTTTAAACTGTCCTAACTTAAGCGTGCTTGACCTGGCTAACGTGTGCAAGCTGACGGATTCTGCTTTGGGATACCTTGCAAATGGCTGTCGAGCTCTGGAGAAATTGATCTTGTGTCGCAATTCTTTCAGGCAAGTCTCTAAAACCCATCCCTCCTATTCATGCTTTACTCTCCCACTCAAAGCCAAATGTATATGGTAACGTTGACTCTTATATATAAGAACGTGATCCTTGATTGCTAGGACTTTTCTTATTTCTTGTTTTGTGTGAGAGAAACTTAGGGTGTTTCTTCGTTAGATAATTCTGCCACTATGTTGATTGTGTAGACATTATGAATATACTTAGCTGTGTTGTATGTCAGAAGTTTAATGTCTTATTCTCTCTTTATAGCGATGAAGCTGTAGCTGCATTTGTAGAAACCGCAGGCGGTTCACTGAAGGAGCTATCACTAAACAACGTCAAGAAGGTAAATGGGATCTCACTGTCCCAATTATGCCACTACGAATCCACAGATTGAGATGCTTAAGTCACAACACTTAACACGTTTGTTTGTATGTTTTAAGGTTGGCCACAACACAGCCTCAGCACTTGCTAAACATTCAGAGAAGCTGCAGATTTTGGATGTATCCTGGTGCAGAGCTATGTCAGACGTTTCATTAGGCTACATCGTCGATAACTGTTCATCTCTGAAATTGTTGAAAGTCTTTGGATGCACTCAGGTAAGTAAATCAACACCTCAAGATTCAATGTCTCTACTTGGCAAAGCAAGCGAACCAAACCAAGCCTATATTTTTCTTTGCAGATCACGGATGTATTCGTTCGAGGTCACTCGAACCCTAATGTCAAGATATTAGGTTTGAAGATGGATCCCTTCTTGGACCACCTTACAAAGAACCTTGCTGCTAGCTGAAAGGGACTCCTGACCTCACTCTCTCTCTGCTTTGTTTGTTTTTGGAGAAAGAAGAGCAGAGACGATTTTACTATTGTGTTTCGTTGTCTTTTAATCTATGTATTAAACTAACTCGGTAATAGTTTGGGTTTTGTAATTTGTAATGAAATATTTTAACTAGGTTTTTTTTGAAACTTTCAAGTTTTTGATTACAAAGAGCTGAACAATGTCATCTATTCCTATATTAGATTCAAAGAGGAGGATCTGAAGATTTTGTGTCCTCCTCAAATCCCTGAATCATTGTTATCCTCCTCAAAAATACTTGTTTTTCTAAATTATTCAGATTCATCTATTGCAAGATTACTCTGCTTTTCTCCATCTGCTTCCCTGGTTCAATCATCAACCATTGTCTTCAATCATTTACACCAAGCTCATCATCACAGGTTTGTCTTGCCTCTGGTGGTGACAGAACAATGCCAGATATTCCACCATTAGAAGAAGCAAGAGGAGGATGTGAAGATATTCCAGTTTCTTCTTCACTCCTTTGCTTTGCTTCCAGTTTCTTCTTCACTCCTTTGCTTTGCTCTTTTAAAAACCATTGAATCATTGCTATCCACCTCATGTCTTTTTTTTTTTCCAAAGTGATATAGAAGCATCTCCTCCTGTTTTATATCTGTAGACTTGAAGATCAAGTGAGCAATGGCAATACCATCATAACAATCCATATCACCATCATCCTTCCTCACGAGTTCCCTTGCGTCTCTTGTTTCTCAAATGCTGCTAACTCTTTCTTAAACAAACTCGCTAAGTGTTGAAGCTGATGCACCACAATCACCGGTCTTGCCTTTCTTCATCTCAGACCCCATTTGAAAACTCTTTTCCTATCTTGAACCAATGGCACTAACTTTGTAGATACATCTCTTCTTATCTCACTAACTTCTGAATACCTCCCACGCCCAAACTTGGACAAACTCAGCGATTTGGGTACAAGATATTGACTAGAGTTTTTCTCTAGCAAAAGCTTGAATTTGACCACAAATCTCTGCATATACTCGCTAGAACCGCAGGAGCAATTAGGAACACATGTCTCGAAATACCAAAATCATCGCAAGAAAAGCTTCGTGCTCCAGGGAATCATCTCTGTCTCTGAAACTCATTGTCCACTGTTGTAATTAATGGCTTTCTAAAATAAGGTGGAACAAAGAATCTCTCCGAGTCTTTGGAGTTTGGACCGTACCAACCCGGATTAAACCGGAAAACCAAATTGGATAATTGATTTTGATTCGTTCATTCTTCTCGTGAATAGAAAAAGCCGGAGACCTCCTGACTTTTCTTTCGACTCGGAGACTATGGCGACCGAATACGACCAAGCTCTTCGCTCCGTTGCTCAGGTGAAAATCGCCGACCAAGTTGGTGATTCCGGCGAAGGAGACGGCGTTAAAGTCTCGTGCTTCACTGAAGTTACTCTCCAAATCCAGATCATCCGTCTCGCCAAGCAGGTTCCCGCCAGTAACTTCTTTGTTTCTCTTCTCAAGAGCTTGATCTTCATCGGAACTGAAATTGGCCGTAACCAAACTGCAGATTTATGTATGGGTCGGTTGTAATTCCGCCAAATTTGGGAACTTGTACGCAGCCGCTTCAACGCGACCGGTTAGTTCAGTGATTTCCATGGAAAATTTAGGGTTTTCAGTGTCTAATTTAGTGTTCTGCTCTCTGTTTAAATGGCAGAGCAATACAGTAAGTGTTACATCATTACTTGGTGGAACATCTGATAACACTGGTTCTGGCATGGCTCGTAGATTAGGTTAGAATCTGAATGGTAACAGATTTCAGATCGTCCTTCTTTCTTGATTGATGCTACAGTGAGTGATAAAAAATTTCTGGTTTTTTGTGTGTTTCTTTAAGTGATGAAGACTGGCCTCAACATAATCCTCGCTTGCAACATCCCTAAAAACAATCCTTTGCTCGAGGTTCTTTGCTTTCGTTCCCTTTTGCTCTAGTTTTTGTAATACCTAAACATTGTTTTTGTAAAAAATGGGAAAGTAAACAATTTTTGTTTTTGTTTTTGTGTTGTGTAGGCAAAAGCTGAGAAAGTGTTGATCAGAAAGCTGATTGATCTTGGTTACACAATGTCAACAACACCTGTAAGAGAAACATGATCAAAAAGGGAGAATCAGTTTAGCTGTTTCTTCAATTTGTTTATATCTTCTTTGGCATGAATGATCAACTTATTCTTCGGATAAATTTTGTTCGCATCATGTCTTATGTAGCTGGAAAATTTGGTTCCTCTTTCACGACTTTCAGATGTGTCTGTTTTTTTTTCTTATAGTTTCGCGTGATTTCTTCTACTTATGAACGTGTTGACTCTCTATTTACATTCCAAAGTATGAAACTCTAAATTCCAAAAATCGATCATGTTTGATAAACTCTGCAGTAAATGGGCTTATACACGGGCCTTTTCATTTTTTCGTTATTTTTTGTGAACATCCTGTTTTTTTTTTTTTTTTTATGGGAAAAAAAGTCAATTTCAACCTGAACTAAACCTGTCGTGTTTTTTTCTACATGAACTTATATAGAATGCATTTCTCTATCTCAACTTCATATAAAATTTAAATAACTTATCCCAACTTTATATTTTATGCCAAAATAAATATTGACCATATTTCCGTTAGTTGATCGTTAACGCCTGCTGACTCGGATGGACGGAGATGTCTGCATAACAATAACGTTTGTTGGAAAAAGAGTCAATTTCAACATAAACTAAACATGTCGTGCTCTTTCCATCCTGAACTTATACAAAGTGCGTTTTATTACCATTGTGGTGTTTGCTTTGGTGATGATTTTTTTTCTTTAGGTTTGTATTTTGAGTATTAGATTGTGGAGAATTGTAAGAGTAATTGTGTTGGAGTTTTATGGTAGTTGTAAGATTTTCATGTTTAAGACTAGGTGTTTGTAAGATTTTTCATGTTCAAGACTAAGTGTTTAATGGGTTTTTATGTTTGCTTTGTCATGTTTGTATATGTAAAGAAAAGAGACAAATGATAAGAAGTTTACTTGATTGCCAATATTCTGGTTTTAAACTTCACCATCAATATTTAACAAACCATAACAAGAAAAAGAGAAAAGAAAATATCCTAAAGTGAAGCTTCAACATGCCCGAAACCATCAAGCTGCTCCATGTCCTAAACTGAAGAACCATCCTTACAAAAACCATCAAGCCGCTCCATATCCTCAACCAAAAATCCATATTTGTAAAAACCATCAAGCCGCTCCATATCTGACTCTATCATCTCCTTCCCTGAAAACATGATACAACAGAAACAATTTATAATTATTCAAAACTAAGAGCCACAAGTTTCTCATATGTTACTAATCATAAACCATCGTTCCATTCTCATACGTCACTCAACAAAACACACACAAACAAATATTCTTAAGAAATCAAATCAATAAAATCCAGAGTTGCACATACCAGTTTTTCTCCAAAAGCACATACCATTTACTGGCCTTATCGAGTCATTGTAAAAACTGTTGTTGCCTTGTATTGAGATAGCAACTGGAGATGTAATCTTCGTGATTCAGCCTTCTTTTTGCGATGTTACGCAAGGCATGAACATATGGAAGCCCACTCATATCCCATCTTCTACATGCGCAAGTCCTAATTCCAAGTTCACAGAATACGAAACCATCACCGAAGCAAACACCACAATGGTAGAAAAACGCACTATGTATAAGTTCAGGTAGGAAAGAGCACGGCAAGTTTAGTTCAGATCGAAATCGGCTCTTTTCCCAGCAAACGTCATTGCCATGTTGGTATCTCCGTCCATCCGAGTCAGCAGACGTTAGCGGTCAACTAACGGGAATATGGTCAATATTGATTTTGACACGAAATAGATAGTTGAGGTAGTTTATTTAAAATTTATATGAAGTTGAGGTAGGAAAACACACTATGTATAAGTTCAGGTAGGAAAGAGCACGACCGGTTTAGTTGAGGTTGAAATTGGCTATTTTCCATTTTTTTTATACTACTGATTTTTGAAACAAACGTACTACATATAGGTTTTTTGGTGGCCGAAGGTCACCGTTTTAGGTGTTGATTTCTTGTTACTTTTTTTTTTTTAATTTGCAATTTTGTTCTAGAGTTTTCAAATTTTCTTTTTTTTGATAGCGATCTTGATTACGGTTTATTTTGATGCTGTCGATAAGATTGATTCCGCCTCAAAACAGACCCGATTGGTTGGGTTTTTCACTCGTCGTTTAGGTATGTCTCGTCTATCAGTCTATGTTAGGGTTTCGTTTAATTTCTGCAGTGATCTTGGTTAGGGTTTATTTTTTCCGTTTTGAAGCCAATTCTTGATTCCGTAAGGAAAAATCAAATATGGGGTTTCCCAACTCCTCTAGTATCTTCATCCTGGGCTCTTTTTTATATTGGGCCTGGTCGTCGCATACTCTTAAGCCCATAAAACATGGACGGCTTATCGGAGATTTCTAAAATGTCACCGCTCCGTAGTTTCCCGATGATCGGGAGCTGGTTCTTAAATCCTACTGTAAGTTGGATTCGTGTGTTTATTATTGCATCTATTGATTGATGATGATCCGAGGCTATTGAATTCGTCTTGATCCCATATCCAATTCTGTTTTGATTAGAGACTGGGATAAGTCTGGCTTAGTTTTGTTCCCTCTTCTCATTGGTTTTGTTCTCTGTTTCCTTTTGATTCGATTGCTTCCTTCACTGATCTCCGGTACTCAGTTTGTGTATTTGCTAATCAGCGGTAGGTTTTGCTGCATCTGCTTATATCTTTAAGATCATTAACTCACAACGTAATAGTTTTAAGTATGTATTATTTGTATGGGCTAAACTGTATTTGATTGTATGTGTTTCCTTTACCAAAGTCTCTTTATTCAACAATTCTCTGAGATTTGGGATAAAATAAAACCATCCTTTGTGCGCTGATTATCACATACAGTGTCCCTTTATCTGTTACTGATTGTCTGGTATGTGGAAAGATCTGTATCTTCACTACGTTCGTAGCTTTGTGTGTTAAAGTCTTATATTTCGTGTTGAACCACTCAATCGTTATCCTTCAGGCAATAACTCAAATTCAGTCTCTTGTAAAGTGTCACACATGTTCTGTAGTTAATGTCTGAACATGGTGTTTCGTTTGAACAGATGATAGTATCGCTTGTTTGGAGTACCATCTCTGTTTATGCTAGAGTTTCTAAGTTTCATATTATAGTTTTTCTTATGCTGTATTGATTGTGATTTTGTTTTGGGGTTGTCAAATTTCCTAATCACTCCTATGTTTAGTTTTTGCAGTGATCTTGGTTAGTGTTTCTCTTGAAGCTACGTGGAAGCTAGACTCCGTATGAAACTGGTAAATTCTCTGTCTATGCTAAAGTTTCTCTGTCTTTTAAAGGTTTGTGTTTAGTTTTGTTTTCCTGAGAGTCGAACAAGGACAAACACTTCTGATCAGTTCTATTTTTATTTAAGCAATTGACATCAATGATGTCTTGGGATTTTGAAATCAGGATTCTTCTTTAACAACAACTAAAATTCCTCTTTTAAGAAGATTTCAAAGCCTTTTATTTTTTTTTTGGTTTTGTCAAACCCCAGGAGATTAGGTAGACAATATTCTAATGTCCTACAGATTCTTGATATATCATGTCTTATTGTTTACTTCTTCTAACTAAGCCAAGTATAAAGTTATGACACTAGTGAAAGAGGACCATTGTGAGGATTCTCATAATTATATGGGTTTTGCTCTGCAACAGGTAACCTATTATTGGTTTTATAATACTTCAAAAGTTTCTTCCTTTTAGAATTTAGAGTTACAGTGATTTTGATTTTTCTGGATTGCAGGCTAAACTTGCTCTGGAAGCTCTTGAAGTTCCTGTGGGGTCTCTATTTTTTGCCTTTCTTTCATCCTAATTTTTGTTTCTTACCATTTATCAATTAGTTTCATAGAAGAGAAAATATGCTTCTTTTCATTTTTGTTTTGTTTCTTACCTTCTGTTTTGTCTGGATCAGTTGTGTCATTCTTGAGGATGGTAAGGTCATTGCTTCAGGGCGAAACCGAACAAATGAGACACGCAATGTAATCTTTCAAAACTTTCACATACTATTTCTCTCTATCTTATTTTCTTGAGCTATACAGGAAACGTAAAACAATGTGATGATATAATAGAGTGTTTCTTCAAGTAGTTTATGATTGTTAACATTGGTCTGATCATCTATATGCTAAGACGTTTATTGCCAATATGTTTGAAAAGGCCACAAGACATGCAGAGATGGAAGCAATAGATGAACTTGTCGGACAATGCCGGAAAGATAGTCTCTCACCCTCACAAGTCGCTGAGAAATTCTCCAAATGCGTTCTTTATGTAACATGTGAACCTTGCATAATGTGTGCATCGGCCTTATCATTTCTCGGTATGACTCCTTAAACTGAATAGACATTTTTTCGTTTGTTTGTTTTGTTTTTCATGAGGAATTAAACAATCTTCTCTTCTCTCAATTGAAGGTATAAAGGAAGTGTATTATGGATGTGCAAATGATAAGTTTGGAGGATGTGGTTCCATCTTGTCGCTTCACTTAGGCAGTTCTCAACGGTCAGATATCATGTAACATCTTATGATCCTTACAGTCTTATAACAAAAATGCCTTAATTGATTGATGAATGATTGTGATCTCTGTTTCTGAATAGTGAAGAAGCGCAAAGAGGAAAAGGGTACAAATGCAGAGGAGGAATAATGGCAGAGGAAGCTGTCTCGCTTTTCAAATGTTTCTACGAGCAAGGCAATCCCAACGGTAACTACAACTATCATGTTTTCATGCAACTCTCTTCTTTGATGAAACCTCTTATGAGCTTTTTTCTTTGGTTTTAGCCCCAAAGCCACACCGCCCCGTAGTTCAAAGAGAGAGTACCTAAAGCGAACAAATTATGAAAATGGCGTTAGTATATGACTCTTATTAGGAGCATGCTTACGAAACAAAGGAAACATATATGATGATGATATGCTAGAGAAGAATCAGATTGTGCAGATTTAATCGCAAGCAAAAGTTGGATTTAAGTTTTATTTATGTTTACATTCGGTTTTTGATTATTAATGATGTTCGAGAGCTTGTAAGAGAGTGTAATGGTACTACATATTTGGTCTTTTTTATGAAAAAGTTCAATTTAATTTCTCTTTCGAATGTCAAACAACCATCATACTTTTGTTATTGTAATTATGATGGCTGAGGAATTTTGTTGCCTGTTTGAGTAATTGAGTAATTATAAATCTAATTTGATTAGATTCACAAAACTTACTCGCATTTAAAAGAACTAAGAATCATGCCTTGTGCTTCTCTCTAATTTTTTATTTACTTATGCTGATCAGTGACAATACTGTGATGCCGTGTTTTTTTTTATTTGCTGAGTTTATGTATATGCCATGGAGAATTTCAGAGAAATTCAGTCTTCTTCATTCCTTTTGGTTATAATGTCTCCTAATCATTTCCCACATCTGGGTCGGTTAACGTCTCAAATATTCAGTCTTCTTCATTCCTTTGAATCGTGTAGCCTGGAGCATTTGAGTTACGCGAGTAATCTAGGTGCAATGGCGATTGCAGAGAGTGTCACTAATGATCATAGATACCATTCGTATATTGCTTGCAAAGGACCAGCTTGGCTTGATCAACACCTGTCATTGGAAGCTGCTCACGGACTATGATGCTACTCATGGACGACGCAGTAGATAAGATAACCATCGTCATATTATCTCTGCTTTCACTTTCTTTGAATTATACATTTTGAGTTGTTCACCCTCGTTCACCATCTCTTATCTTGTGAGGAAGGGTTGTTCAGATTTTTGTACGATGCCTATTGGTGTCTGTTTTGCACAACGGTTTCCAGTTGATCAATTGTTGAACAAAAAATATTAATGTTTTTATTGTTATAGGAAAATTAGATAGTAATTAATAACAAAGGTATATAAATTAGATCTTATTTTTTTTTTAACAATAAAAAAAATTTAACATAGTTGTTAAGACCAATTTTACTGGGTCAAGAGAGGGTCTGACATGTGGACCTTAGGTTGCACTAAACACTTATACACGCCACACTACCTCGGTCAATTCACTCTTGCGCACTGTTTCGGGACAGTTGGTAAACTTTTTCAAACACGCTAGAATCATTACTCCTACCTACTTTTCTAGCACGCCGGATGGAAAAGATAGGATAAAGAGACCGCGAATATGAAAATGAGGAGATCACCACACAAAAAGGACTGGTCGGATATGAGAAAACCCTTCTGGAAGAGGAGGCAATCACTTGTATCCAGATCAGTCGGCTCCGGCGAACAATACGATCATGGAAGAACTTCATGTTCTCCCCGGTGAATGCCTTTTAGGATAAGTCCTTCTTAACCCGGAACTCTGCCTTTATACTTGCTCCATCTCTTATCGTGTACAAACCCCTTCGAAACACCTGAAAACAGATAGATACCTCAATCCCCGGATGAGGCCTCTCACTCTAACATGTAGAAACACCCCTCCTGAGTATTTGTTCCCGGTAGGACGTTCATTGATTTGGGCGTCTGGAGAAACTTCGGAAAGAAACCCCCTTTCGGTCTTTCCGGAGGTCCGATTGACCTCTCTTTGAGTGTTTGCAGGATTACGCACGATGACCACCCCGTTACGAGGATACATGAAGGCTTCCGCTCCGGAATGACTCGTTGCCTTTCCTCCCAGAGGACGAAACTCGGAGACACAACTTCACCTCTCGGACGAACCACATGACATTCCAAAATTTACTCCTGAACAATAGTATTAGATAATAAAAAATCATATAAATTATTAAAAACTCATTTAATTGGTCTATATTATTATCTGTATTTAATTATATTTTTAAGTTAATTATTATCTTTTTTGACTGATTAAAAAATTTCCAAATTCTAATACTATACTAACTGATAGAATACATCAAAGATTATGTATAATTATTTTTTGTCTTTTTAAGAAAACTTCCAAATTCAAATATTATACTAATTAAAAATATATATAAAAATAAGTAAATTATGTAGAATATATTAACAATAAAAATTAACTTAATATAAGATTAGAAAATATGTTAAATAAAATAACTCTTTCAATTATATAAAATCCAAATAAAATTAATAATTAAATACTGTTTTACATATACAGTAGAAAATCTATAAATTAATAATGTTAGGATCGAGTAAAATTATTGATTTATCAAATTATTAATTTACAAATTTTTATAGCTATTAGTTATAATTTTTGGGACCAGATAAATTATAAATTAAGTTTCTCAAATATTAATTTATAGAATTTCTAATGTAATATAAATATAATAATGTTTAAAGAACATTTTATTTATGGAGGATTACTAGAATACTCTTTTAGATAGCTGTATTGGCTAGAATAACTGAACTTTGTTTTTATTACTGAACTAACCTAGCGTACCGATTATGCCCTTCGAGCCTTTGATAACAAAAACGGTATTTACGATTGTGCCATTGCTTTTCCTTTGCCACGTCAGCGAGATGTTTGACGGTAGACTTGTTTCGTTTGGTCAACGGCTGGTAGATTTGTTTCGTGTGGTAGACTTGTTGTTGACGGTGAAGTGCTTATGACGCAGTAGATTTTTTGGGAACGGTAGACTTGTTCCTTGAACGGTAGATTTGTTTCTCGAACGGTAGATTTGTTATGAACCTTGGTAGACTTAAAAATATGATGTGGAAGATATTTTGTTTTCGATCCTACCGGAGGGTGATTGGTTGACTTTTTACGTTCATTGACTTTGAGTGGCAGTAGATTTGTTTCTGGACTTGGTAGATTTATTTTCATTTGGTAGACTTAGTATTTGTGGTGGTAGATTTGTTTTGTATTTACTTGGTGGTAGAGTTATTTGTTGATGGTAGAGTTTTTAGTGCCAACGAATCCTGGTAGATTTATTTTGCTGTTGTGGTAATTTACTTTATTTTCGTAGTGGTAGAGTTATATTTTCCATAATTACCAGAATAACATCATTGGTAGATTTATCGTGTTACGTGGTGGTAGACTTATTTATACTGGTAGATAGTTGACTTTTTCACAGATCGTGATTGCATAGTGGTAGACTTTTCATGGGGTATTGGACGGTGAAGAACGTTTGAAATGAAATATTGATCAGTGGGATGTTGATTTTGGACGTGATAGAATACAAATATTGCAGCGAAGAGATTGAACCTCTATAGTGACTGTTGAAAACTCGTTCATTACATTTCAAAATTTATAGAAAGTATATAGAGAAGCAGTTCTTAAAGAAAGAAAGTACTTAGAGATGTTCAACGAAGAAAGTGCATAGAGATGGATAAAGCGATCCATAGTAGAAAATAGACGCTATTAAAACTGAAATCTAAGCAGTTGATATTGAAGAAAAGGTAGCACTCGTGGCAACACATTAATGGGTGTTTGAACCTGCAGCTTGGAAATTCTTCTACTTTGAAAACATTGGGCAGCAGATCTGCAGTAGCACTCTGTATTCCCATCTTGGTTCGAGAAACCTCTTCACCTAGTTCGATCATGTAGTGCATACGTGATCTCCAACCTACAACTCTTTCCAACATCTCCATTGCAGTTGGATAGTGGCCATATGCGGTTGCGATAACAGCGATCATCAATGTTGCTTGGTCTATCGCGGCTTTGGAAGCCTTGTTGAAAAATCTGAGCGAATTTTCAACGTCGTGGTCTATAGCTATTGTTCTCATCCCGTGCAGGTATAATGCATGAGGATTGTCTGATGATAGAGCCAAATTGAAGAAGTAAGGATATCGTTGGAGCAAAGTTGTATCAGCAACGAAGTCTGATAGGTTTAGTGCTTGCATTACAGATGGTTTCTTTAATGTTGTGTTTAGTTGTTTTGACGCACATGCTGCACGACATGCGTCCTTAGCAGAAACTCGTCCCACTCTCTCAAGAATCGGCCCGAGTAGGTCTCTTATTTGGTGGAGTCCATCATTTGTTTCCATTTTACGCTGAAACATAAAATAAATCTTCCATCAACTAACTAAGTATATCTACCACAACAGATTAAAAATTATAAATCTACCACAACGGCTTATTAACAGACCTAGAGTTAACGTAAATCTACCAGCAAGAGGCCTTGTATAAGTACCACACAACCTCATACGAAGTGATTTGACGATAATCTCTAACTATAACCTACAACAGATGTGAACTCGCCATAAAAGTTGAGGTATTTGGCGGATGAAAAGGAAGAGAAAGCGGAATACTTACCGACGAGAGTTGGCAGTCTCGGATTCGAGTAGAATCAACTTGCCGACATCGGGTAGAGTGAGTTAGGAGGCGGAGTGCCCAGACAAAGACTGATGTCTGCCGTGGAAGTAGAAAAGTTAGTTGGGACAGGAGGAGTAGTAAAGTAAAGGGTTTTTAATAACCAAAAAAAAAAAATAACAAAAATTTGGGACCACACATCACATTATCTTCCTCACCCACTCTATGTTATCGCCGCCTCCATCATTTTTCTCCATCTGGTTCGACCATTGAAACTAAAATCTCGATCGCCTTCTTGTTCTTCCTCTATTAAATCCTTAGTTCGATTTCTGTTTAGCTGGTCATTTTGAATCGATGGAACAAATTATTTTAGTTTGTGAAAAATAGAGTTTTCACAATAATCGATGGAGGTTTGGCATAGATAAGGGAAAGGGATGTCGAATATTGCGGGTACATGAAGAAACCTCTTTCGCTGGATTTCTGGGAATGGTGTTTGAAGATTTTGGTTTGGATCCGCGAAATCAAGATGTGCAATTAAGCTACATGTTGTCCAAGGAGGTACTGCAAAGATTACCACATGATACACCTCCTGTATTTGTGGCATATAATAGACAGTTGAACGGGTTTTTCAAGCAATTTAAAGAAGATCGGATTCGCATGTGTGTTGAGATTAAATCAAAAACTCCCGATGAATTTGGTTCAGATGGAGAGAATCGTCATGCTGCTAGGAAGGAAGGAGATGTTACTGTTGAAGAGGAAGGAGATGAAGAAGAAGGCGATGAAGAAGAAGGAGATAAAGAAGAACAACAACATGAAGAAGCAAAACGAGATGAAGAAGACGAAGAAGACAAAGACTTGAGTACCAGATATGATGGATGCGAAGATCCGGATGGTGCTACTTCTGATGACGAAGAATATGGAACTTCTATAAAATCAAGGGATGGAGAAAGTGTTGATGTAGAAGATGATGGTGAAACTCTACCACCAAAAGTAAATCCTGCAACAATTCCAGATTTTCTTAAGATGGAGATAAGTTCAATGGATTTAGCCGTTGGCCAAAGGTACCAGACAAAAGATGATTTGATTATGCGCCTGCAAATTCTGAGCGTCATTAAAAAATCTGACTATGATGTTGCATATTCAACACCAATATTGTTGGTGGTAAAGTGTTGGGTTCAAGGATGTGCATGGCGAGTTCGTGCTTCAACTGTAGGTGATGGTTTAAACTTCTACATTAAGACTTACGTTAGCAATCACACATCTTCTGTAACTGTCCGATCACTTCGTACCCGCCATGCCACTTACCAGATTCTAGGACGTCTCTATAAAGACTTTGTCGGTGTTGTTAAACCTTCTGTATTGCCAAACCATGTCTCTGATGGGCTGACAAAACGATTTGGAATTAAGGTAAGGGTATGGGTATGTTCTGATGTGG